TTTTTTTTTTTTTTTTACAGCTTTCTGACTTCTTCAAAAAAAAAAAAGAGAGTCCAAGGGTCTGCAGACTGGGTGACATTGCCCTGTGAATTGGTAGCTGGGTCCTGGTCAGGCCAGTGGTGTCCAGTTCACAGCACTTAGTACTCTTTCTTAGACTCCCCCTTACTCATTTCCATCACCTCTCTGGCCCTGAGGGCCTTTGAGGCAGGGATGTACATTTTGGGACAGGTGCTATTTATTTCTTTCTGCCATGTTCTTTCCCATTTAGAGTGTTCTTTGCTCTGCCTCTCAAATCCTTCCCTTCACTTTTGGCCCACTTCCATCCTACCTCCTTCCTCTGCCTTCAACCCCAGCCTCAGAAATGCCTGCCTTCCTTCTGAACACTTATCCTCCTGGACCTGGCTGTTGGTAAACATATTCTACTGTCATGAACTCCTGTCTGAATCAGTGAACTCTCTGGTTGCTTTGTCTTCCCATTAGGCAGTTGGTTTCAGGCTCTTTGCACAGTGGGGTGGGTTGATGGATGCCCCTACACACATATCATTTGCTGGCTGTCATCATCTTTGGACTCCAGTGTATGCTTATTTTCAAGAGTTTTCTGTCACCTACCCCTACTGAGTTCTGGAGGTATAGTGGTTAAGGCATCTGGCTGTTAACCAAAAGGCTGGTGGTTCGAACTTGCTAGCTGTTCCACAGAAGAAAGATGGGCCAGTCAAGTTCTATAAAGATTTACAGCCTTGGAAACCCAATGAGGATTACAGTAAATTGGAATCGATTCAATGGCAGTGATTTTGTATCTGGTTTACCTCCCTTCCATAATACACCTCGCATACAGTTTCTCCTTCCCTTGGATAGGACTTAGGCACAACTAACAGTGGTCTTAGTTATATTATTTGGGGGTCGAGGGGAGCTCCAAAAATGCTACCTCCTTGAGCAACCAGTTGAGGAACAGCGTGGGGGTAGAAGTTGAGTTGGAATCGACTAGACAGCAAACAGTGCTGGTGGTGGTGGCATGCTGGTGACAGAAGGCACAGTTAGGCAGGGAGGCCAGACCAGAGTCCAAAGGGCCTTGTTAAGTGTACGTTTGCCAGATTTAGCAATTAAAAATACAGGCCGTCCAGTCAAATTTGAATTTCAGATAAGCAATAAGTAATTTTTTAATACAAGTATTCCCCAGATACTGCATGGGACAAACATACTAAAAAACGACTTGTTTTTCATCTGAAATTGAAATTTAACCTAGTGGCTTGTATTTTATTTGGTAATCCTATTTGTTGTTGTTGTTGTCAAGTCATCTCTGACTCATAGCGACCCTATGCAAAGCAGAAGGAAACACTGCCCCATCTCGTGCCAGCCTCACGATCCCTGCTATACCTGAGCCCATCGTTGCAGCCACTGTGTCTGTCCACAAGAGGGCCTTCCCCTTCTTCATTGACCCTCCACTTTACCAAGCATGATACCCTTAAATTTTCTTTATTTTGTTGTTGTTGAGAATATACACAGCAAAACACAACACCAACGGTTTCTACAAGTGCGATTTAGTCACACTGCTTACATTCTGTGAGTTGTGTGACCATTCTCACCCTCCTTTTTTGAGCTGTTCCTCCCTCATTAACATCAACTCTCTGCCTCCTCAAGTTCTGTCTGATCTTTGTGGTTTGATCCCATGCAGATAATTCTTATCAGGGTCATTTTTTACTATAAACAGTTTCATAACAATGTAGTTGCCATATTGTCTTTATCAGGCAGGTCTTCAGGGGAACAGATTAACAGAAAGTTAACTGAAGGTCATTTTCTCCTGCTAAAGGGAAAAAACTTTGTTAAGCTTTTACCAGAAAAACCTGCTAGTTGCCATAGATATGATTGTGATTCATGGTGACCATGAATAGGGTTTTCAATGGCTGCTTTTTCAGAAGTAGATCACCAGGCTTTTCTTCTGAGGGCCCTGTGGGTAGACGCAAACCTCCTTGGTTAGCAGGCCAAGTATGTTAACCTTTCATGTCACTGAGGAACAGCAGCCCTTTACCGACAGGTGCATGACCAAATATACTTGGTAATACCTTCAGTGAGATCCAAACCAAAGCCGACCAGACTCACTGCCGTCAAGTTGATTTCGACTCATAGTGATCCCTCCATGGGTTTCTGAGGTGGTATCTCTATGGAAGTAAGTTGCCCAGCCTTCCTTCTGAGGCGTGGCTGGTGGGTTTGAACTGCCAGCCTTCTGGTTAGCAGTCAGATGCCTTAAGCACTACGCCAGATAGCATCCCATAATCAGACACATTGGTATTCCTGCGACAAAATGCATAAACACATTCCATATATAAAAACTCACATCAACTCAGGTGCTGAGAGCAACTTCAGTGCTCAGACCTTTAGGGTTTTGCTATTTGGAAAGGGGATTATGGACTTGTGCATTTTCTGCCCCCTTAGGACATCCTGCTGACGCAGTGGTAAGTGCTAGGCTATTAACCAAAAGGTTGGCGGTTCAAACACATCAGACACTGTGTGGGAGAAAGATAAGGCAGTCTGCTTTCATAAAGAGCACAGATTTGGAAACCCTATGGGGAACTTCTATTCTATTCTGTAGTGTTGAAATCAACTTGAAGGCAATAGATTTATTTGGTTAATGGGTAGGAAATCTCTTGAAATATGAAAGAAGTGAAAGTCACCAGCATCAACACTAGAGGGCCCCTGGTTATCATTTTGTTAGGATCCTTGCTAATGGAAGTTTTACATCCTCTCCTCCTCAACCCCCCTCTTTAGCTTGCAGATGCCAGCATGTTACCTAACCTGAAAGAACTTCTCCAGTCTTCCGGAGACAAAGACAAACGTGCCTGGGACCTGGTGAGCTGGATTCTGTCATCGAAGGCCCTGACAATCCACAGTGCAGGGAAGGCAGAGGTGAGACTTTGGTGTGTGGGACTACAGATTCCTAGAGCCCAAGAGCTCTCTGGGTCAGTCCTGGGTCCAGTGGCTTTGAGACACCTTGTGCACCAAAATGATGTGAGCAGCTTGTTGAAAATGCAGATTCCTGGGCAGTATCTGCAGAAATTGTGATTCTGTGTCTAGAGTGGCGTCCAGGCTGCACACTGGTAGTGCAAAGCTGGGTTCTGCCTCTTGCTAGTTGTGTGACCTTGACCAGGTTACTGGGTGCGTTTCAGTACCTCAGTTTCCTCCTCTATAAAATGGGGATCGTGGTAGTATACTCCCATCAAAAAACTGGTGGTGAGATCTGAATGAATTTTCGTAGTTAGAAAAATGCCTGACACATACTAAGGGCTTGTTGGTAAATCTTGGATATAATTTTATTTACAAGCATGCCAGGTAATTCTAATGAGAGTGGATCCTGAGCATACCTTAAGACACATTGCCTAATCCAGTTGTCAGGAAAAAGGCAGAGCTCAAAATCGTGGAAAACTTCAGGCTCTAGGCTCAAATCCCACTTCCAGCAATTTTGTAGTCTCCCCATTTCTAACTTGAGAATATTGTTACCTCAGAGATGGGCTATGATAGTATGTGTGTCACCCCCCGACACAGTTGCTGACATAGCTGAGACACTCCATAATCGTTTCGCCAGCTCACATGGCTTTTCAGGGACAGGCTAGCATGACAAGGACCAGAGTCTATGATCTGACCCCTGATCTGGTGCTCTTCTCTCTGAGTGGCAGCAGTGGCTTAATTGTACTGATCTCCTGCTAAAGATAAAAATCCTTCCTTAAGAATTTAGTATCTTGGAATCTAGTGTCTAAGGGACCTCCTGTGTTGGATGGTAAAATAACATGAAGAGCCCAGAGTTGGGTCAGGAGACCCATATTCATTGTCAGTCTGGCCTTCTAACTCCTGCATGATCTCTGGGTTTCATTTTATTCATCGTCTCATTTATTTATTTCTTATATGGCCACCAGGAGCTCTGGTAGCATAGTGGCTAAGGCACTTGACTGTTAACCAGAAGGTTGGCAGTTCAAACCCACCACCACTCCTTGGAATGAAGATGGGGCAATCTACTTCTGTAGTGATACTGCCTTGGAAACCCCAGGAGGGGTCGCTATGAGTCGGGTCTGACTTGACGTTACATAACAACAACAACAGCATGTGGTCACCAGTTAGATTTTGAATACAGTAGCTGAAGTGGACAAGGCAATGGCTCCTTGGCTTTTGATGATAGACCAGTTAAATTTCTATTAAAATGTTGGGTGTTGGGACCCAGGGCTGCCAGCTTTTTACTTTGCCCAAGTCCAGCCATTAGTGTACCATCTATCATCATTTTATAAAAGGGTATTTTAACATCAAAAAAGGAGGATGGTCCTAATCTTAAAGGACATATCATCCAAAAAAAAAAAAAAAAAAAGCATCATGGCAACCTTACATCAACATAAATATATGTTACAGTGCCTTAATTTTTCTCATTTAATCATAACCCAGAGACTTTTGCTTTGGTCTTTGACCTCCTGTTTGAAAACCACTGAAATGATGCAATTTTTGCTCCGAAGAGGATTGTTTTCCTTTATGAAGGACCTTGTCATTCTGTATCAGTTAGCTTTTGCTGCAGAACAAGCCATCCCCAAAACTTAACTTAAAGCCACCAAGATTGATTGGTTCTCCTGATTCTGTAGGTTGATTGGGTAGGTGGTTCTAGTCTGGGCTGGCTTGGCTGGGACTGGACGTTCTAGAGTAACCTCACTTACATTGCTTGGACTTGCATTGGGATGGCTGTGGAGGTTGGGGCCTTCCTCTATGAGGCTCTCATTCTCTAGGAGGCTAGTCTGGGCTTGTTCACTTGATAGTGAAAGATGAGGTATTCCCAGCAGCAAACAAGAAAGGGCAAGCCCTTTGCCATGTCTTCTAAGGTCCCATTGGCCAAAGCAAATACATGGATGGCCAAGCTCAGATTCAAAGGGTGGAGAAAGAGGTTCCACCTCTTAATGGAATTTTGGTGGAATTCTTCCTACAAAGGGAGCTCTGGTAGCGTAGTGCCTAAGGCACTGCTAACCAGAAGGCTGGCAGTTCAAACCCACCAGCCACTCCTTGGAAGGAAGATGGGGCAATCTACTTCCGTAGTGATACTGCCTTGGAAACCCAAGGAGGGGTCGCTATGAGTCGGGTCCGACTTGATGGCACATAACAACAACAACAACTGCCTACAAAGGCACCTTGCAGAAGGGTGCAGGGACAGAGATGGGAAGAAAAATATGTGGCTGTTTTAGCAACTTATCACACCTCCCCACCTCATGGCAGTATCATAAAGATGGAATGCAGGAAATATGTGAAAGTGTTAGGAAAATTAAAAGTCACCTCTAGTTAGAAGGAGCTGTTAGTGCCTATCAGTTCACTATAAGGAAAAGCTTTCTAGAAGAAAGCAGTCTTTTTTTTTGTTAAGTTGTTGTGTTTCATTTGAAAGTTTACAGGGAAAATACGTTTTTCATTCAGTAATTTTACACACATTTTGATGCGTGACATTAGTTGGAATCCCTTCAGTTTAATAGCACTCTTCCCGCTTCCTCTCTGAGTTCTCTGTTTCCATTCATCATTCTTTCCTGCCCCTGCCTGCATTCTGAACTTTGTTTTTGGGCGAACGCTGCCCTTTTGGTCTTGTGTGGTTGACTGTTCTGGGTAGTATGTTCCTCACGGGTGGTGGTGGTCACTTTGCAGAAGAAAGCAGTATTGAGCAACAAGCTCTGAGCTTGTTTGTAAACTAGTGTCTTTATCCTCATGAAATCAGTTCTTGTGAGCAAAGCTCATGGTTTAGCCCAAGGCTTTAAGAGGACATTTTTGCAGCGCATTTTACCCACTTCCCAGATAAAAATGTCACTCCTTTCATGTTTTCAAGTTCGAAAAGATCCAAAAGCTGACGGGTGCCTCTCACATGCCTGTCCCCACGCCGGACTTCCTGTTTGAAATTGAGTATTCTGACCCAGCCAACGCCAAATTTTATGAGACCAAAGGAGAACGAGACCTAATCTACGCCTTCCACGGGAGCCGCCTAGAAAATTTCCATTCCATCATCCATAATGGCCTGCACTGCCACCTGAACAAGGTGGGGCCTAAGGGGCACCCTGCTGAATGGGGTGGGTCAGAACCCTGGGAGTTGTCTGGACGGGGTTGGGAGTGGGGTGGGTGGGTGTCTGGGGCCTCATAGCTCAAAGTGTGGGCTGCAGACCATCAGCAGCATCAGCAGCAGCACCTGGGAGCCTGTTAGAGAGGCCCTGTGCCAGACCTGAATCAGAACCTACATTTTAATAAGATCTGCAAGTGGTTCCAATGCAGATTACAGTTTCCGAAGCAGGGATTTAAGGATGTTTCCCAGCCTTGGCTGCACATTAGAATCACTTGGGAAAATCCAAGTGCCTGGTTTTGACTTATAGTGACCCTATGTACACCAGAACAAAACACTGCCCAGACCAGTTAAGTCAGAAAATCCCCCAAAGGGGGTAGGGCCTTGACTTCAGGATTCCTTCTAAAGCTCTCCAGAGGATTTTGATGTGTGTCCAGTCCTAGCTACTCAGCATGGTTCCTGGACCAGTAGCATCACCTGGGCCCTTGATGGAAATGTTCCGTCTCAGGTCTTGTCTAGAAAAGAAACTAACAGTTTCACAAGACCCCCTGGTGATCTCTGTACATTGAAGTTTGAGAAGCACTACGCTCAGACTCACTCCAGTAGTGAAAACTGAAGGATGTCATCCTTTTTCTCTCCCTCCTTGAGCTCCTTTCCTCCCTCTTTCAGTAGTGCAAACAGAGTTACCAACCTCCTTGTTGCTGGCACTACTCCAGTGAAGTGTAGGAAGAGGAGTACAGACAGATGCTGGAGCCAGAAAGACTTACTTAGTAGCTCTGGCCCTGGGCAAATTTACTTAAACACTCTGAGCCTCAGTTTTCTTATTGATAAAATGGGGATACTATTTTAACGGAAAGGTTGGTGATTCGAACCCACCAGCTGCTCTGGGGCAGAAAGACATGGCAGTCTGCTCCCATAAAGATTGCTGTTGTTGTTGGGTGTGTGAGTTGGTTCTGACTCATCGTGACCCTTTGTACAACAGAACAAAGCACTGCCCGGTGCTGCCCCAGCCTCACAGTCGTGCTGTCAGCTCACTGCTGCACCCACTGTGTCAGTCCATCTTGTGGAGGGTCTTCCTCTTTTTCACTGACCCTCTACTTGACCAGGCATGATGTCTTTCTCCAGAGTCTGGTCCCTCCTAATACCATGTCCAAAGTACACAAGACAAAGTCTTGCCATCCTCACTTCTAAGGAGCATTCTGGCTGTACTTCATTCTGGCAGTCCATGGTATATTCAGTATTCTTTGCCAACACCATAATTCAAAGGCATCAATTCTTCGGTCATCCTTATTTATTGTCCAGCTTTCTTGTGCATATGAGGTGATTGAGAATATCATGGCTTGAGTCAAACACTCCTTAGTCTTCAAAGAGACATCTTTGCTCTGTAACACTTTAAAGAGGTCTTTTGCAGCAGATTTTCCCAATGCAGTATGTCATTGATTTCCTGACTGGTGCTTCCCTGAGCAGCATGGATCCATGTAAAATGAAATCCTTGACAACTTCACTCTATTCTCTGTTTATCATGATGTTGCTTACTGGTCCAGTTGTAAGGGTGTAGTCATTGATCTGCATCAGTAAGTGCCCCAAGTCCTCTTTGCTTTCAGCAAGTAAGATTGTGTTGTCTGCATATTGTAGGTTGTTAATGAGTTTTCCTCCAATCCTGTTGCCACATTCTTCTTCACACAGTCCAGCTTTTTGGATTATTTGCTCAGCGTACAGTTGAATAAGTATGGTGAGAGGATACAACCCTGACACACACCTCTTCTGATTTTAAACCATGCAGTGTCCCCTTGTTTTGTTCAAACAACTTTCTTGCTTTGTGTACATGAGCACAGTTAGGTGTTCTGGAATTCCAGTCCTTCATAATGTTATCCATGATAATGTTATCATAACTATGTTATGGTCCACATAGTTGACTGCCTTTGCATGGTCAATGAAACACTGGTAAACATCTCTTTGGTATTACTTGCTTTCATTCAGGATCCATCTGAAATCAGCAATGATCCCTCATTCCATACCCTTTTCTGAATCTGGTTTGAATGTTTGGGAGTTCCCTGTTGATGTGTCTTCAGCAGATTTTACTTGTATGTGGTATTAATGATATTGTTTGATAATTTCTGCATGCTGTTGAATAACATTTCTTTGGAGTGGGCACAGATATGGATATCTTCTAGTTGGTTGGCCAGGTAGCTGTCTTCTAAATTTCTTGGCATAGATGAGTGAGCACTTCCAGCATTGTATCTTGTTTGTTGAAACATATCAATTGGTATTCTGTCAATTCCTGGAGATTGTTTTTCACCATTGACTTCAGTGCAGCGTATACTTCTTCCTTTAGTACTATCACTTCTTGATCTTATGCTACCTCCTCCTCTGTAGATTAATTCTTTTTGGTACAGTGACTTGTTTGTTTCTTCCATCTTTGAATTCTTCCTGCGTCAGTCGGTATTTTGCCCATAGAATCCTTCAGTATTGTAACTTGAGGCTTGAATTTTTTCTTCAGTTCTTTAAGCCCCAGAAATGCTAAGCTTGTTCTTCCCTTTGATTTTCTAACTCCAGGTCTTTCCACATTTTATTTGGATACTTTATCTTCCCGAGCTGCCCTTTGAAATCTGTGCAGCGCTTTTACTTCATCATTGCCTGCTTTCACTTTAGCGTCTCTGCATTCTACAGCAAATTTCAGGGTCCCTTCTGACATCCATTTTGGTCTTTTCTTTCTTTCCTTTCTTTTTAATGACCTTTGGTTTCTTCCTGTATGATGTTCTTAATGTCATCCCATGACTTGTCTGATCTTTGGTCATTAGTGTTCAGTGTGTCACATCTGTTCTTGAGATGGTCTCTGAATTCAGGTGGGATATACTTAAGGTCATACTTTGGCTCTTTTGGACTTGTTTCAATTTTCTTCAGTTTCAGCTTGAACTTGCATGTGAGCAGTTGATGGTCTGTTTTGGGGTTGGCCCCTGGCCTTGTTCTGACTGATTCTGAGCTTCACCATCTTCTCTTTCCATAGATGTAGTCAATTTGAGTCCTGTGTATTCCATCTGATGAGGTCCACATGTTTAGTTGCTCTTTAAATTGTTGAAAAAGGGATTGCAGTGACTAAGGGCTTGATCTTATAAAATTCTGTCATGCAACCTCCAATATCATTTATATCACCAAGACTGTATTTTCCAACTATTGATCCTTCTTTGTTTTTAACTTTCACATTCCAATCACCAGTCTTTATCAATGCATCTTGATTCTGTGTTTGATTAATTTCAGACTGCAGTAGTTAGTAAAAATCGTCAATTTCTTCATCTTTAGTTTTACTGGTTGGTGGGTAAATTTGAATAATAGTCATATAACTGATCTTCCTTGTAGATATCCAGGGCAGTTCTACTCTGCCCTGTAAGGTCACTCTGAGTTGGAATCGACTCCCAGGCACCAGATTTGGTTTGATTTTATTACCCACATTCAGGTGTGCTGAGAAGATTGAAACTGGTAATGGATGCAAAGGGTTCCACAAGTAGTAAGCACTTAGGAAGAGGCAGTTGCTTTAATAGGCTCATGGAAAAGGTGTCTAGGAGTAGTAGTTTCCCCCAGTTGTGGCAGCATCTGTCTTGTCTGGCTTATGAACCATGGGCTCATGGTTGTAGCTGATGCAGTAGCCCTGAGGCTAAAGGGGCATTTTCTAACACTCCTGCATCTGCTTAGGTGGTTGGGTTTTGCTGAGGATGACAGGTTTGTTTATACTGGCTCAGTTTATCATTATTGGAATCTAGGGGGCCTCTACTTCACCCGAGTCAGCCTGCAGATGACATTCTTGTACAGCAAACCTTCATTTCAGTGCCCCATGGAGTTTACTGCTTAGAGACATCTGACGAAGAGTCCTTTGGTAAGGCAGTCCCCTATTGGCTTTCTCTTCTGGATTTTCAGTGAGAGACTTGCTGGAGGGAGCCCACTTGCCACCTGAGGCTGTGAGATTGTTTTCATGGCAGAGGTACTCCAAGGTTCCCACACTAGTGCAGCTCTGCTTATGGCAGGCTTGCACGAGATTTTTGAAACTAGGGAAGGGTGCATACTTGGCAAGTGTGAGCAGGGAATATGGGGTCAGATTGGAGGGCATCCAGCATCTTTGGAAAAGGTCTATGTCAGTGTTTGAGAGATGAGAACATTGTCTACCATGGCAAGGGGCTTCTCAGAGGCCAACCAAAGGGTTGATTCATTTCCCCTAAGCCTTACTTAACAGGTTTAGAATTGTGGAAGCCTGACACTGCAGAATAGGACAGTTCTCATTTCCAGAGGTTAGGATGTTTTTCCATGAGCTATTTAAGTCTATTCATCATTTTGTAATGTTGATACGATGGCCCAGAGATAGAAAATGAGTTTCAACTTGAATGCCAAATCCCATTCATTGGTTTCAGCTACCTGGAATGTTATGTTGTGAAGGAGTCTGGGTCTTGGTCTCAGCTCAGTGTGAATGAGTGCCATGATTGATATTTTTGTGTTGGTCATCTTAAGTGATTATTGGTGTCTGTCATGGGCAAAGGATGTGTTTGCTGTCCTTGCTATTGCCTCAACTTACAGGTACCTCACCTGGAATCCTTACTGCTGTCACCTGGCCTGTTCCTTATGGAGAGTACATCTTAACACACCACCAGGGAGCTAACTCCTAGACCTTTGGCCATTTTCTTGGTTAACACCAAGACAAATAGAGTAACATACCCTGACCTTCATGTAGGGCTCCCTCATTCCATTATGGTTTCTGGTCTGAGAGACTCATTTCTTTTCCAAGTAATGTCTTGGGTTATATTCCCCCTTCAGGTGTGACTTCCTTGCACATAGGATGTGACATTACTTCTGCAAGCCCATCAGTGTAATTTTGCTTCATGCCTTCATGTAACAGGAATCACTCTATATGCTACAACATAGAAACTTGTGATAGAGCACCCAGCACCAGTTGCTGTGGAGTTGACTCTGACTCAAGGTGACCTCATGGTGTCAGATTAGAACTGTACTTCCTAGGATTTTCAGAGGCCGATTTTCTGGAAGCTGGCTACTAGGCCTTTCTTCCGAGGTGCTTCTGTGTAGACCTGAACCTCCAACCTTTTCTCAGTATCTGAGCTGTGTGTTAACTGTTTGTACCATGTAGGGACTCCATGGAGGACCCAAGTAATCTTTATTCAGCACTTGTGTGCCAGATGTTCTGCTTGATTTTATGTACATTACCTTCTTCAGTCCTCGCCCACAACCTTATGAAGGAGGTACTGTTAGCCACATTTTGTAATGTAGAAACTGAGATCCAGAGAGTTTATATAACTCTGGTAGCATAGTGGCTACGGCACTTGACTGCTAACCAGAAGGCTGGCGGTTCAAATCCACCAGCCACTCCTCAGAAGGAAGATGGGGCAATCTACTTCCGTAGTGATACTGCCTCGAAAACCCAAGGAGGGGTCGCTATGAGTTGGGTCGGACTCGACGGCAAACAACAACAACAACAGCAGTTAGAGGCGGGATTCAAACTCTGGTCTGTTTGGACTCATATAACTATGCTTTTCCCAGTTGACTTTAACTACCAGGAACTGATAGGTTGTTGAGTTAGAGGGCTAAATCCACAATTAAACTGTATTCAGAGCAGAATATGTTGAGTAGTAGCCATATGATGATGTCCCAGGATTAGTTGATCCTGTGTCTTTTGCTGGGAAACAGCAGGCTTGAAGATTTTTCATTTACAGCTCTGTGTTGAAGAAAGACCTGTGTCGTCTGGCTGTGCTGACTCCCAACTCTGCATTCACCGAGCTTTGTTTCTTTTCTGTCGGCCTCTGCCATTCCAGACATCCTTGTTTGGGGAAGGGACCTACCTCACCAGTGACTTGAGCCTGGCCCTCATTTACAGCCCCCATGGCCATGGGTGGCAGCACAGCCTCCTTGGCCCCCTCCTCAGCTGTGTGGCTGTGTGTGAGGTCATTGACCACCCAGATGTCAAGTGTCAAACCAAGAAAAAAGGTGAGTGAGGGCTTGGCCATGGCCTGGGCCTGGGTGTGGGGTACACAGGCCCAGCTATTGGGTGGAGCACCCATTTCATGCCAAGGGATGAGCTCGGTCCAGAGCAATGCAGGGCAAAGGCTGCCTTCAAGGAGTAAGTAGTCAGTTTCTTTCAGGATTAGACATACGGTGGAAAAGATATCTCTTACTATAAGGGAAGGAGTGCCAGGGGAGGGAGCTGATGAGGGTTATAGGGGCAACTCAGGAAAGGGCGATCATGGTGGGTGGCAGGGAAAGCTTTGAGAAGAAAGTAAGATTTATGAAATACAACAAAACATATGGTGTCTCAAGAAGGTGAAATTTGATAGATGAGGGTGAGGGTGAGACAGTGGGGCTCCTCGAGGACAGGAACTGAGTCTCATTCATTTTTTTTTTTTTTAATTGTGATAAATATATAAGTAACAAAATATTTGCCGTTTCAACAGTCTAACTCATTTTGGGCACCAGGTATCAGCAGAGAGCTGAACTGAAGCTAAGGACTCTGGGTCCAGACCCTGACCCTCCAGGCTACTCTGATGAGTGCCAGAGCCCCCTGAGAATGCAAAGGACAGCCAGAGGATAGGATACAAGGGAAAGCTGAGGCCAGGGGTGTGAGGCCAGGGGTATGATCCAGAGAGCTGGTATACCAGCTGTCTACCTCAAAGCTACCCCCCAATATGTCCCTCATATTATTCCCCATTTGCCCACCTCAAAGGCCAGAGAGGTCACAGAACTATCATACTGGTCTCTAGAACTGGCCCATGCTTTTGCTGGAAAAAAAAAAGAAAAAAAAGAGAATCCGGACAATTGGCTGTTCCTGTCCTCTAATATAAAACAACTGGAATCCTGAGGAACAGGCCCAGGTCTGACACCATCCTCCTAAACCAGACGGCATGAATATTTGTGTGTTTATAATTCTTGGGAAGTTTGCCGACTGTGACGTTAAGCATCAAACAAAACCTTGCAGCTTTTGCTGTCACGAAGCTTTGTGGTTCCCCCCCCCCCATTTTGTTTTTGGTGAAGCTTTTTCATGCCATTAAAAGAAAAGGTTATTACTTTTTTGAAAACAGGTTTTGGGATGAAGGGTGGAAAATAAGCGTTCTGAGATGCTCGAATCCAGACTGGTTCATTTAAAATGCGGCTAAGGCACTTGACTACTAACCAGAAGGCTGGTGGTTCAAATCCACCAGCCACTCCTCGGAAGGAAGGTTGGGCAATCCTACTTCCATAGTGATACTGCCTTGGAAACCCAAGGAGGGGTCGCTATGAGTCAGGGCTGACTCGACGGCACATAACAACAACAACAACAACTAAGAGACTTGTTTCAGATTAAGTCCAGTTCCTAGTTCCTAGTCGCAGAATATCTTGTGTTTGTTTTTGCTACTAGTCTGCTTTTCCCTCCGCTTCCCCCCACTCAGCTAGGTTCTTCCTTTTTTCCCTTTCATCCCTTACATTTTCTTATTCTTTTTCCCTCTGTTGTCATTCTGTCTGTCCCCTTGTTTTAGTGGTACATCACACATAGGCACACTCTTCACCCTCTGGGGCTTTTCCACCCCCAGGACCAGGAGGCCTGACCCCATTTATATTTATAATTTGTTTCCTTTGTTACTGTGTTTTCCCTTACAGCAAAATTGTACTTGTTTTCTCACACATGTGTTGATTGGTCTCTCCTTATTCAGATTCCAAGGAGATAGATCGCAGAAGAGCGAGAATCAAGCATAGTGAAGGAGGCGACATCCCTCCAAAGTACTTTGTGGTCACCAATAACCAGCTCCTGCGAGTGAAGTACCTGCTGGTATACTCGCAGAAGCAGCCCAAGAGGTAAGAAGGACAGTCCCTGCATGAGAGCCAGGAGAAATTAATGGCTGTATTCAAAGTATTGGGTTTCTTAGTTATCAGCCTCCCCTGCCCACCATGGACTTTTTTTTGTGTGTGTGTGTGTGATTTGGGTGAAGATTTGCAGAGCAAATTCGCTTTCCATACAGCAGTTCACATATACTTTGTCTCATGTCATTGACCACAGTTTACCACAATGCAACAGTTCCCCTCTCACTTCCTCCCCATCCACCATGGACTTTTGTTAGACCCCACCTATGCATAAAGCACCATGCAAGACCTGGTGAGGGGTCTAGTAAGATGTGATCCTGGCCCAAAAAGGACCGTGCCATTCTAATGAAGAAGGTAGAAGGAGATTTATAAACACAAAGCATGAGGAACTAACGTGGCCAAATTGGCTGCCCCAGTACTTAGCCACTTAGGCTCACAGATCAGTCTAAAATCCTGTGGCTATGTTAAGCTGACAGGCAGTGAATGGAAGCCGGCTGAGGGTATTTGCAGTTTCCAAAGTGGTTACAGAACCTCCCCTCCTGCCTCTCTCTCTACCTGAGATAGCTCCTCTTTATGTCCAAAATGAGAATGCTGAACCTCACAGCAGAAGGAGGCCTTCCTCTCTTAAGACCCAGGTTGGATGCCTAATCTCACCCAGCAGTGTGGTAGTGGGGGGTATGTGGTATGTACAGGGTGCTCCAGGGCCTGGAGGGGTTACTTCGAGATATTGTCACATTATTGGGGTCGATGGTAAAGAGAGCCTGTTTTGAGGGTCAGCAGCAGGTGAGCAGGTGAGTTGGGGCAGAGGGTGACTTTTAATAATCTCTTGTTGTTGTTGTAATATGTTATCGAGCTGATTTTGACTCATAGCAACTCCTCCTTGGGTTTCTGAGGCATTATCACTATGGATGTAGATTTGCCCCGTCTTCCTTCCAAGGAGTGGCTAGTGGGTTTGAACCGTCAGCCTTTTGGTTAGCAGTCAAATGCCTTAGGTACTATGCCTCCAGAGCTCCGTTAATAATCTCTACTCTTAGGTTATTTCAGGATTTCATAAATCAGTAAAATTTCCCCTGAAACTTTGGAAATCTGTATGGGGTTCTGAGTCTAGGGAACTTTGTCCTTTGGTTTAAAATCATCTGGGTTTTTCTTTTGAAAATTCCATTCCTTCCCTACTTTTCCCTGGAGTCTCCAGTGCTCACTTGGATGGCTCAGATCATCTCCCAGTGGGTCAAAGAAGATGTCCCCAGCTCAGATTTGTATCTATGCATGTCTAAAAGTGAAAACACTTTTAGCTCAATAACATGCCCTCTGCCTCCGTCTGGACAGACAATCTTGAGCTGGATACTGAAGCCTTGCTTAAGAGCAGACAGGTTATAAAAGGTAAAAGAGGAGCTATAAAAGGGAAGGAATATCAGGATGAGCTCATTGCATAGCTGTCTTTGTACATTTAGAAAATGTTCTGTTGAAAGGCGTGTCAGTGCCAGGGCAAATAGCTCCAGATTTCCCAAGTGAAGGAACATGAAGCTTTATTTCATGGCTCACGCAGAGGATGAAATTCTTCATTTAGTCTGCTTTGAGTCAGAAGTTGTTGCATACATTAAAAAAAAAAAAGGTTTTTTTCTCTTTTTGCCAACATCACTCTTTTTCCCCTCTTAAATAGGGCTTCCAGCCAGCTTTCCTGGTTTTCTAGCCATTGGTTTATGGTCATGATATCCATGTATCTGCTGCTGCTGCTCATAGTGAGTGCCATCAACTCCTCTGCCTTCCAACACTTTTGGAATCGTGCGAAGAGATAATCTTTCTGGGCCTGGTGTGGGAGCCATTTTGACCACGTGCCTTATGATAAACTTGTTCTGTACCCCTGCACCTTGCATCCAGCCAGGCCAAGCCTGGTAGCCAGTTGGGGATCGCAGGACAATTTCTGTATGCCATAAATGTATCCATTGCCTTTGATGATGCTCTCAGCCACACTTTGGTCCATGGGACCTCTGGTCCTTCATGCTTAAGATTCAGGGGAGCCCTCCTGTCTGCTCCTTCCCAGTCAGTCCTAGGGAGGTGGCTTTCTAGCCAGGGCCAAAGGAAAAGTCCTGCTGCGTTTAAAAACAAAGTGTCCAAGCTGTCAGTGGTGTGTTTACAATGCTCCTGGCAGAGGCTGGCCCTTTCTCTAATGCCTTCTGGAAGGCGGAAAATGTGTAGTGGGGACTATAAATCACTAGGCGGTTGCCTTGTTTTGACTCAAGACACCCAAGAGGAACAGTCATGTTTCTCATAAAAATTGGTGGGATCGTTTTTGAATTCCATCAGCCCTTTGTATGTGAGTGCAAAACATCTTAATGGTTTTCTCAAATCAGGAGAAACAGCCTCCTGTTACTGTGTCCCCCACCCCCACCCCAAACCATGGATGAGAAAGGAAGGAATCAAAGGCTTGATTAAAAAATACGAACTTAACAATGAGCAACTCAAGTCGTCTTTTTCTAAAAATTACCAACTGCTGCTTACAGCTGAAATGGAACCAAATGTTTGCTTTTTATTACTACTATTATTTTTTGACAAATTAGGCTTTGTGAGTTGCAGAAAAGGGAAAATTTCTAAAACTAGAGCATTGTTTGGCCAGTGTCCACAGCCTCTTTCTGGCTGTTATTAGAGAAAAGGGATCTGAGCTTCAGGCTCTTCTCATTCTTATGAAGCTGCCTTGATTGCAGCCTGCTTGGCCCTGGCAGGCCTTCAGGGGGCTGCTGGTCATTGAGACAGAGGCCAGCCACAGTGTTCTGTCATCCATAGGGGCTGAGCTTCCCTCAGAGGGATTACAGGTCTGTGGGGCTAAAAAGGGCTCTAAAGGTGGAGGAAAAAAGCCTTCTGGGTACCCAGAGAACCGAGACCCTCTTTGCTGTCATCTTTGTTCCCTCCTTCCTGTTAGGTTTCAGCCATAGTGGAACCCTGTCTGATTTAAGGGTGAGATTTCTGTAAAGAAGGAGAAAAATCATTTTTCTATAATTTGTAAAGGTGTAAGAAAGCCACTGTCCTATCATGGTTTTTACATTGAATATTGGAACATTTCCAAAACAATAAAAGTACTTTCCTAATGACGAGCTCACCTTTGTGACTGCTGGTGGCCTTGGTGTGAGTCTGCTCTGTGTGTCTCATTAGTCGTCAACAGTCTTACTCTCAATTCCCTTCCTTGTTCAGGGTGGCTGGTTGCTGGAGAACATGAATCACCAGGATATCTAGTAGGTCTTGGATTCCTAGTCATTGATGTAACAAATATGTGAGCACCTACTGGGCGCCAGGCCCTAGACATCCTACCTGGATCAAGTTCAAAATGCCCTCACCCTCATGGAGCAGGAGGTCTGGCAAGGGGTCCAGATCAACAAACAGTCCCAGGAGTGAGATTGCTATTACGGTATTGTATTGGAGTTTTGGAGTCCCTGAGTGGCACAAACAGTTAAGCACTTGGCTGCTAATCAAAAGGTTAGGTGTTCAAATCCACCCAGGAGTACCTCTGAAGAAAGGTGCAGGTGATCTACTGAAGAATCAGCAGTGGACAATCCTATGGAACACTGTTCTATTCTTGATGCACGTGAGGTGGAAAACACTTGGCAAGAGGTGCTAATGTGATGCGGGGTCAGGAAATACGGAGCTGACACCTGTAAGTAACACTGTCAGGCACCTTACATACATGAATTTATTTGATCCTCACAACATGCCTGTGAGGTAGGTATGGTTATTGTCTACTCTACAGATAAGAAAATGGAAGTCATAGAAACTGAAGCCCCAAATCAAAACTAAACCCATTGCCATTAAGTCACTTGTGACTCAGTGATCCTATAGAACCGAGTGCAACTACCCTGTAATATTTCCAAGGCTGTAATATTTATGGGAGCAGACTGCCGTATCTTTCTCTCACAGAGTGGCTGATGGGTTTGAAGTGCTGACCTTTTGGTTAGCAGGCAGGTGCTTTACCATTACGTCAACCAGGGCACCTTACTGAGGTCCCAGAGGGTTTAATATCTTGCCCAAGGTTATAGGCTAGGCAGTGGTGAAGCTAAGACTTGAGCTAGCACACTGGTTTGAGTGTCAGTGGTCCTATTCACCATGTTGCATTCCTCTCCTGGGCTTCAGGAAGGGTGGCATTCAGCAGACACGTGGACGATGTCTTGGTGTTAGGCTAAGAGGTGGAGGAAGAATGGGAACAGCACTTGCAAAAACCTCACTGGAGAAGCCAAAAGCAAGGGGGTTAGAAGGAAGAAGCTGGTGTTGAGAAAAGGCATTGGAGAGGTGGGCAGGGGCTGGATCATGGAAGACCTTAAAAGCTGTGGGCAGGGAAAGCCGCTGGAAGGTTTTAAGCAAGAAAGTGATAGGATTAGATATGATTTTCAGAAAAATCACTGGATGATGGTTGGAGAATGGATTTAGGATGGTTTTGAGGATTGAAAGAATTGACATATATTAATACTTACAGTAGTGCCCTAGCACAGCACAAACACTTGATATGTGTCTACTGCTGCTATTACTACTAGCTTTTAATGACCCAGTAGAGGAGTTGGGCCTGCAGAGGAAATAGCAGGAGTGTCTGGAGAAGTAAGAGGAAACGAAGACAGCAAAGTGCCACAGAAGCCAAAAAGGAGGGCTTGAAAAGGAAATGCTGCTGAGAAATCAAGATTATACCTGAAGAATTTCTATTGGATTTACTGAGTTGAAGATCATTGGTGAACTTATTGCTGCTGTTATGTGCCGTGGAGTCGGACCCAACTCAGAGTGACCCCTCGTTGGGTTTCCAAGGTGGTATCACTACGGAAGTAGATTGCCCAACCTTCTTTTCGAGGAGTGGCTGGTGGGTCTGAACTGCCAGCCTCCTGGTTAGCAGTCAAGTACCTTAGGCACTACGCTACCAGAACTCCTTTGGTGAACTTAATGGGAGCAGATTCAGTGGAGTTCAGTGCAGGAGATGTGGGCGAAGGTATACTGTACGGATATAAAATGCTGTACACAGTTTCTAGCAGTCAGTTCCCCAAGGCTTGGCTCCATACGTCAAGTGAAAAGATCTTGCTTTGGCTTGAGTCTGCCATCATATTAGCTCACTGTTGCAGAGCAGGGTTGAGGGGTAGGTCTCATTCATTCAGGTAGTACTTATCTAAAACACTAAACCCAGCTGCCTTCTAGTCATTTCTAACTCATAGTGACCGCATGTGTGTCAGAGTAAAAAAAACTGCTCTATAGGGCAGGCCTTCCGAGGCACCTCCGGGGGACTTGAACCTCCAACCTTTTGGTTAGCAGCTGAGCACATAAACTTTGCCACCTACGGACACCATTCAGAACACCTAGAGACTCCATGTTTTTTTGCCTGAGAGTTTTGCTTCCTATCTGTCCACCCCCAAACAGTGGATGATAGGACTGTAGAGCAAGCATTGAGCCTGATGATGGGGACATGAGGATAAATAAAAGCTCTGAGTAGTGGGTGGGGGGGATACTGGACAACTACTTACTGATGTGGGGAAGGAAATGTCTGGAGTCTAGAGGGTTGGAGTGGGCAGGAGGAAGGACTAGTGCTGGGGTGCTTTATATAAGACTTTCATGAGCCCTGGGCACTGGTGGGCTGCTTTCTTCCATTAAAAAAAACAAACAAAAAAAAAAAACAAGATTATATTTACAACTGTTGGTATAAAAACAAATGTATTAATGTATTATGTTAAAACATTTTCATGGACTTGTAACATGGGCCTTAGGTATATTGTGTCTTGTGCCTGCTGGATGCATTCACCCTGGACTAGGCTAATAGAGGATAGTGTGAGGCTTCTGGGTGCCTGAGATTACAGAGCCGGGAGAAGAGACAGACCCTAAATGAGAGAGAGAGTTCTATTTAGCCTCAACCCTGCATCTGAGGAAAATCCCATAGGCCAGCTAGCTTCCAGAAAGGGCAGATTTGGGGTGCGGGGGGTTGGGCGATCAGGAGGTTCATGCTGTGGTTACCTCTTCCCCTCCCATGGAGGAGAAAGAAGCAGAAGCAGTCTCCTTGCTTGATGGACCCCACTGGGCTCAGTTCACCAGGAGCTGATGGCAGAGACCAGATGACTTTCCTTTGGAGCCACCTCCCACCATGGCCCCAGATGCCTTGGTCTTGTAAAAGCCACCCTGCCTGCCCTCTGTCACTAATGCCAAGGTCTGGGGGTACAGCTTTGGGAGGGAGGTGGCAAATGGGCCTCCCTTAGGCAAGATACCTGCTTCCAGGAAGTGCCAAGGCTCCCATGAGCCCTCAGTTTCCAGCACAAAGGTGAGGGGTTTTACTCTGTGTATGAGAGAGGTGGAGTAGGGGATGTGGGTCAGTGTAGCTTCTGATTAATTCATCTCATTAAACATTGATTGCCTATAAAACCAGGAGAGGTCAGGGAGTTTGTGATTTGAAGAGCCCAATTCAGTTATTTTTCTTCAGAACTTAGCATCTGAGCCCACTCCCGCTGTTAAACCCAGGAGGTTTGTGTTGGCTTGGAATCTGCTGCAAGCACCCTCCCTGTTGCCATAGTGATTTTTTTGGGGGGGGGCACAGGGGGGAGGCCCAAGGCTAGATTCAGCGCCTCACACAAAAACAGGACCTTGCTCCTCCTCAAGCCTCCTGCCAGCCCCCATCCAGTCTCTCTCCCCACTCCCTTCCTCCATCCCCACCTCGTGAGTTTTCCATCTCTTAGCCTTTGTTTGTGTTTTGCCCTTGTCAGTCTCTCCCCTCTGGATGAGTTTCTGTTTGTTTCCAAACTGTCTGGGGCTGTGCACCATGGAGACCAGTGTCCCAGGCTGCCTCTAGTCC